TCACAACTGAGTTTAATTTATTCTATTTTTGTCTTCTTAACATTATACTACACTGTGTGCCTGTGCTATATATTATGTAAGGATGATGCAGATGCCATCCCTACTATCTTGCTTATATTGTTTTTGAAGGATTGATATTAGCCATCCCTGCATTTACTTCCTTTTTTGAAAAGTTTTATCTTTACTTGTATATATTAAAAACAAACAGCATGAGCTTAGCCCATTATGTAACAAACTTAAAACTAATTTCTAACATTGCATATTTCCTACTTAAATGAATTTACGTTTACTTGATCTGATGAATACAACCATATGATAGCTTACTGCATATATATTTTTTCAATTTGGACACTTACGACCAACCAAAATTTAAAAAGGCTATTAATTATACTTTATTCTAAGTGTGAGTGAAAGAATGAGCATCAACAAAACAGAAAATACTTACCATTCCAGATGATGCTGTGGCTTGCAGAATGATAAAATGCCTATAAATAAAACACAGTGAAAACTAACCATATGTACATGATCCTTAGATGATGCTATTGCTTGGAGAATGATAAAGTACCTATCAATAAAACCAGAGAAAACCATTCAAGATGATGGTCTTTATACAGTGCTGTGGCTTGTAGAATGATAAAATGCCTATCAATAAAACACAGGGAAAACTTACCATTCTAAATGATGGTCTTTAGATGTGTCTCATCTATAATAATAAAAGGGCATATCTGTGGGTCTATGTGTGACCACCATAACTCTATGAGGAAAGAACCTAGATACATGAAATTTTGCACACATACTAAGTGGACCCTGAGGGTGTGCACATGGGTAATATAACTTATCTACGTGTGCATCTTTTTATGAGGCAAGGTAAGGAAAACCACATAAAAAAGAATATGTGACCACCATATCTTCAAGAGGAAAAAGCCTAGAAACCTGAAATTTTGCACCCATACTAAGTGGACCCTGAGGGTGTGCACATTGGTATTACTACTTATCCACGTGTATGTGCATCTTTTTAATGAGGCAAGTTAGTGAAAAACCACATAGAAAAAAAGTGGTTCCTTATATTACAAATAGAAATCACAGACAGACTGACACACATGTGTGTGTGTGTGCATGTCTGTGTGACTGCCATAGCTTCCAGAAAAAAGAACCTAGCAACCTGAAATTTAGCACCCATACTAAGTGGATCCTGAGGGTGTGCACCTGGGTATTATTACTTATCCACGTGCATGTATGTCTTTTTATGCAAAAACCATATAGAAAACAAATGTGACCGCCATAACTCAAAGAGGAAAGGACCAAGAAACCTGAAATTTTGCACCCATACTTAGTGGACCCTGAGAGCCTGCATCTGGGTATTATTACTTATCCATGTGCTTTGTTTTAAATGAGGCAAGTTGACAAAAAACCACATAGAAAAGAAGTGGTTACTTATATTACAAATTATCGATATAAATCACAAACAGACAGACAAACACGCACGTGTGCACATCTTTTTAATGAGGCAATCTAGCAAAAAACCACATAGAAAAAGAAGTGGTTCCTTATATAACAACTATTGATATATAAAAAAGACAGTGTGTTTTGGTAACAATGTGTTACAACAATGGCTTTTATATCATGTTGCTTAGCAATAAAAGTATAATCTAATATTGTTGTTAAGAGGCTGTGCTGAAAGTATAAAATTAAATGTATAAACTACAAAATTTAAAAAAATATTTGATTTTCTAATTTAGATTCCATTCCTTAAAGAGGTTTGCTTTTCATTATTTGTTTTTATTATTTAAGTTTAAAATTGGAGGACAATACAGAGGAAAGGTTACTACCCTTATAAACAGGCCACATCCTGTAAAAGAGCAACAAAAGTATATAGGTTATACTTTTATGCTAAAATGGGTTCAGAATACACACACTGACATATTCATCTACAGTAAATAAATCTAATAACCCGAGCAAAGCCGGGCACTTTTGCTAGTAGAATGATAAAATGCATATCAGTAAAACATGAAGAAAACTTACTGCTCTAGATGATGATCTTAAATGATGCTGTGGATTGGGAAAAAATAAAATGTCTATCAATAAAACACAAGAAAAACTTAACATTCTAGATGATAATCTATGTATGATGCTGTGGCTTGGAGTATGATAAAATGCCTATTAATAAAAAACAGGAAACTTACCATTCCAGATGATGATCTTTAGATTACATTATGACTGGGAGAATGACAAAATGCCTATCAATATAAAACAGGGAAAACTTACCATTCTAGATGATGGTCTTTAGATGATACTTTGGCTTGAAGAATGATACAATGCTATCAGTAAAACACATGGAAAGCTTATCATTTTAGATAATGCTGTAACTTGGAGAATGATCAATTACCTATCAATAAAACACAGGGAAAACTTACCATTCTAGATGATGATCTTTAGATGATGCTGCAGCTTGAAGAACAATAAAATGTCTGTACACAAAAAACATCCAATCATTAAAATCATTTAATAACTTTATAAACTGGATAGGAAGAAATATAAATAATTTGAATTAATGGAAAATTAGATTTTAAGTAATCAAGTGTAACTTCATCAACAGGCAATTGTTTAATGATGTCATGATGAAAATTTGTCTGAAAGCTGAAGGTACCAATGTACTGATATACACAGCATCACTATACATTTCAACATAGACATGATACCCAATAACTTTTCTATCATTATTTCCTACAGTCTTTGTTGTTGTTTCTCAGATACCAAGTTCAGTTAGTGATACCTGAAGGGCATTGCCCAAAACGTTGTATCTACAATTATATACATTAAAAATATATATATATATATATTAACTCTTTAGTAGTTTGACCTATAACATACTTCTTTTTTTCTCAGATACCAAGGCCAATTTGACATCTGCTCACAGTTAACCAAACACATTCCATACAGATATTAGAAAAATGCAACTACATAATAACACATTCCGCCAGTTCACACTTAGCATTGTGCATTGCAGCCTTTGGTTTTCACTGTTGATTATAATAGTCTTACAAAATAACTGTTTTTCAGTTAATACTTACTTGTACTTGGCAAAAAAATTTGATGGTTCAAATAGCTTAGACCAGTCTGCTTTGCCAAGAATAATGTCATCTGTCAATGCCATACCTGTAAAAATGATTGAACACAAGTATTGGTAAAATTTACAGGTGTTTATATCCCACATTTTTAATCTGTTTGTGTTCATATTATTGTGACATTGATAAATGCATCCTGCAGTGTTTTACTACAGTGAAATTAACTTTAGAATAGATGAGCTTCACACAAACACACATATGCATCCACATTAAACTACATTGGAACAGAATAGCTTAAACAATAGCATATTTTCAACTTTACTGCACTGAAAATTAGGTCAAAACCTAGGTGCTAAAAATGATGTCATTCTAACAACCATGCTGGGTTCACAATATTCAGACAGAGCTCAAAATCATATAGCTCAGTTTTTCTTTTTCTTTCCCCATGGTTAAGATTAGTGAAAGTTGATGTTAAGTCACCAAACCGATGTAATGCAAAAAATTTTTTAATCCAAACAAATTCTAAATATGTTTTTTAATGTAATAATTAAAACAAAGATGCTATTATTAACCCCTAACAGTATGCAGTGTATATGTAATAGTCATAAAATATGTATAAAATAATATTTAAGTGTTTAATTTTTATTTTTGCAAAGAATGGTTTAATAATGCTTGGAGACAGCTTGAATGAGTAATGAAGAAAAACTTTAATATAAGTTTAACATAACAGCAAATGTACAACCTGATGATGACAAAATCTTGTTGAAATGTTG